TGAGATCAGTACCAAAATGATCGAGTCAGCTAGCGATGCCATCAACTGGACTACTTTTACGTATTTCTATCGAAGATTGCTTGCAAACCCCAGCTACTATAGTCTCAAAGATACATCCCATGAAGGTCTTAGTGCCCACCTCTCGGAGCTTGTAGAAACCACTCTGAAAGATCTGGCCGAGTTCAAGATCATCGATTTGGATGAAGAGGACGACTCTGTCACTCCATTAAACGCAGCAATGATTGCCGCCTATTACAATATCTCATACGTCACCATGCAGACCTTTTTGCTTTCATTGACTGGCCGCACCAAGCTCAAGGGTATTTTGGAAATCGTCACTTCAGCAACTGAGTTCGAAACCATACAGATCAGAAGACACGAAGACAGCTTGCTTCGTAGAGTATATGATCGACTTCCGGTCAAGATGGCTCAGCCAAGCTTTGATTCGCCGCACTTCAAGGCATTCGTCCTACTTCAAGCGCATTTCTCTAGAATGCAGCTACCAATTGATCTTGCTAAGGATCAAGAGATCATTTTAACGAAAGTTCTTGGTCTCTTAAGTGCTACTGTAGATATCTTATCATCAGACGGTCACATTAACGCCATGAATGCCATGGAAATGTCACAAATGGTTGTGCAAGGGATGTGGGATCGCGATAGTCCTTTGAAACAGATTCCTCACTTTACACCCGAGGTTATCAAGGCTGCAAATGAATCTGGGTATGTTTTAAATTCTCACACTAATAAAGTACCTCCGCTAATCAAACATATCTACAGTATCAAGGACATCTTCGAATTTATGGACGCAATGGACCCTTCCGAAAATCCAGACTATGAAGCTCTCATTAAGAGACTTGGTCTCTCGCAAACACAATTGGCACAGGCAGCCAATTTCACGAATTCTAAATATCCTAACATTGAGCTTGACTTTGAAGTGGAGGACCCGGAGGAGATTGTAGCTGGATCACCAGCCTACCTTAAAATCAAGATTGTGCGAGATGTTGATGAAGATGACGATGCGGCAGAGGTGGATATGTCCGTACATGCTCCCTTCTACCCCGCAAAGAAAATGGAGAATTGGTGGTTGGTCGTGGGCGATGAAGGTACAAAAACGTTACTTGCGATCAAACGGGTTACAATCGGGAAAGCTTTGAACCTCCGGCTGGAATATACGGTACCAACACCTGGAGAGCATGATCTAAAGTTGTTCCTCATGAGTGACAGCTATGTGGGTGTCGATCAAGATCCCAGTTTCCATGTCTCGGTAGCAGAAGGAATGGATGAAGATGAAGACGAAGAAGAAGAATGAGCCACGTTCCCCCCTTTGTCTCGACGAAGCATTGCTGTATAATAGATAGGTTTAGTTGGTCAAAAGCATATCTCGAGATTGATTGATTTGCTCGGGAGTTGCCTTGGGATTCCGCATCCTCATTGGGTTTTGTTCGCTATTTGTGACTGTGCTGCCTGTGCCACGGACGCCGCTCGCAAAGTGATTGGCTACGTCAGAAGGTGGCCCAACAGTGGGCGGATTCTTACTCGTGTGTTGATCATGACACGACAGAAGGTTCTGTCAATGATGTCTTATTGATCACTTTTTTTTTCAATCCTTTTTTGTTTTATTGTGTCAAAAAATTCTCTGTTATCATCTCTTTCTCTTCAACAATACCTTTTCACTATTGACATTGAATGTCATATTCAATTACAAGTTAGTACAGCTTTGTTACTGTACTGTTATTATCTGGAACTCACTTTTCGCGTCACCCTCTCCGACTAATATCCGGGAGGCTGGGGGTAGTCGAGAGTGTATTGTGTACAGAATCCACCACATCACCACGTGACTATTGCCTCACTAGCGCGCAGGCGTAACTTCTTTTCAAGCGACATTTTGATTTCCAGAATTCCTTCTTCCCAAGCAGCAACAAAAAGTTATCACCTTCATCAGATCATTTATCCGCGATTATCTTAATCATCTCATACATCCCTTACGCGTCAATAACTATCCTACCAATACGCCTTACATATATCATTGAACTTTTTTGAAGCTGTGTCGCGACAATGGCGGATGAGGCAAGCACGCGAGATGAGGTGGTGCCCCCTCAGTCCCCAGGCACTTCAGCTCCAGATGCTGTCGTAGAGCCCCAAGTCGATGTGTCGGAAGGCGCCAACGGTAGCAATGGTGCTGAGGATGAAGCTGTTTCCGAGGATCCAGTCGCGACTTTCGGCACGAGCGCGACGGAAGAAGGTACAATTGCTTTTCTCTTGTCTCAATTCCTATCACTTTTCTTTTGCTAATCTTATTTCTTTAGTTAAGAGTAGCAACGCCGAAGCTAAATCAGAGAAAATGGACGAACAAACAATTCCCGATCGCTCAGTGCAGGAGGCGCCATCCGCGTCCACCCCCGCAGATGGCGACGATGCAGAATTGAAGGGCGAAGAACAATCAGATGATGGGGCTCCAGCAGCGGATGAGTCTGCAGAGTTAGTAGATGCTGACGCCAGCACACCAGCTTCAGCCAGCAAGTCAAAGGGCCGACGCAAGTCTGGTGTGCCAGAACACAAGAAAAAGTTGAACAAAAAGCAATCCAAGGCGAAGTTGACGCATACGGATGCGAAGCCCGGCGATTACTTCTACGTGCGATTGAAGGGATATCCTCTGTGGCCTGCAATTGTCTGCGACGAGGACATGCTTCCCAGCACCCTCATCAAATCTCGCCCAGTCACAGCAATGAGAGCAGATGGTACCTACAGAAGCGATTACGAAGATGGCGGTTCTAAAGCTAAAGACAGAACTTTCCCTGTTATGTATCTTTTTACGAATGAATTGTAAGTGCCTAGCAAAACTCCTTGAGATGAATCTTACTGATCAATTTAGTGGCTGGATACCAAATTACGATCTTCTTGATCTCGATCTAGATACAGTCGGGGACGTTCCCAATAATATGCGCAAAGATTTATACGCTGCGCATCAACTTGCCGCCGAAAAAAACGATTTGGATTACTTCAAAACTGTGTTGACAGAGTTCATGGAGCAGAAGAGAGCGGACGAGGAAGCCAAAGAGGCTGCAAAGGCAGCCAAGAAGGCAAAGAAAGAGAAGAAAGAAAAGACGCCAAAGAAAGCTGCTCCTAAATCGGATAACAATGGAGACACAGAGATGATGGATGTCAGTGCTATCCCTGATGACGAGGAGGTCGAAGTACCAAAATCAACTCAGAAGAAGCGCAAAAACCCTTCACAGGTTCCCGATGATGATACTGTATGTTACCATTCAAGTATGAATTTTGACTATTATCAAGACTAACATAATAACCCAGCAGCAGCCTGATACCGCCCCAAAGAAGCCTCGTATCAAGTTAAACAATACCCCAAAGGCTGCGAATGGTACATCTACTCCAAAGCCTGCTAAAGAAGCAAAGGAACCCAAATCCGCAAAGGATAAGAGCAAGACAAAGAAGGCTGCTGCGAAAACCAAAGATGCCGCCCCTGTCGCTCCTCCTGAACCAGAACTCACCCCAGAAGAGAAAAGGGTCAAGAAAGAGGTTTGTTGACTTCCTTCAACAACTTAGTGATTGTGTCTAACAATTCTTCTAGAAAGAGATCCTGTTCTTAAGGCACAAACTTCAAAAAGGCCTTCTGACTAAAGACCAAGAGCCCAAGGCAGACGAGATGCAACAAATGTCCGAGTATGTGAACAAACTCGAAGGTTATGCCGATCTCGAGGTTAGCATCATCAGACGAACCAAAATAAACAAAGTTCTCAAGGCTATTTTGAAGCTACCTGTCATTCCCAAAGAAGAAGAATTTCAATTCAAATCAAGGTCTCAGAGCTTACTTGATAAATGGAACAGACTTCTCGCCAGTGAACAGGTCGCACCAGCTACCACTGAGGCCCCTGCCAAGGGCACCAGGGATGATAGTAAGGAGAAAGACGAGCCAAAATCCGACAGCGTGGCAGCAAATGGCATCACCCAAACCGATGAGTCAAAGACGGAGGAGAAATCACCTGCTCTCGACACGCCACTTACCGCGCTGCCTAAAGATGAGGTTGTCAGCAATGATGAGCCTGCGCCTGTCACAGAAGAATCTCCAGAGGTAAAGCTCCCTTAAAGAGCAATTAAGACAACAAGTATTGACAGAATATTAGGAAGCGGAAGCACCAGCTGTTGAATCAGAAGCATGAATTAATTTCCCTCTGGGGAAAGCGAAAAATACACCAGCTTAGGCCAAACAATTTGCGGCCAGCGTGTGCGATCAACACCAAGATCGGTTAATGAGCAGAATTGGCCCCCTCTAGGTCTCCAGTCGTCGTCTTTTCAGGCATCGTCGTCCCGACTTGAGGTTGATAGTTTTGCTTTTGCTTTGCGGGTTCCCATTGTAACATTAAGAGCTATCGGATTGTTATTTCTTTTAACCCCTGGCTTTTCAGAATGCCACAGATCACCCTTGTACAAATTTCCTTTTCTGAAAAGCACGTTATGGCGGATGCGTGGGGAGTTGACTGCGGATTTTCAAGTTGGCACGGATGAACGCTCACTTTTCTTCTTTGACATTAAGGTTTTCTTCAATTTACGTTAGAAAATTGGCCCAAAATCACAATTAAGATATGAAAACAACAATGGCAATTCTCAAAGTACTTGACCGTTCTCTGATTAGATCTCAATAGATCACAGAGAACTTGCGCGTTCGTGAATGTGATATCGTAAGGTTATACATCGAATCCCCGTTTTGATCTCACATTCTCTGTCATGAAGACACAAAAAAGCTCCTGATTGCTTTTAAAGCCTGAATGAACGCTTCTGCACTATTGCTATACATGGATTGGCACGTCAAATTAATAAGAATGAGCAAATCGAGATAAAGTAGTAAATGAATGTATGAGGAATAAGCATAGGAAGTGCGAAATTCACCGCCTCCTTATCAGGAGCCACTGCTGGCAGAATTATTTATCGCAAAAATAAATTTCGTCGATCTGAATTAACAAAAACCTCATACACAATATACAATGTCCGCCCCTACCCCCGAAATTCTTCGCTTTACAACCCACAAGTCCCTGAGCCACCGACTCGTTCTCTCTGCTTTAACAGGTCGTCCAATTCATATCTCACAGATCCGAAGCTCCTCACCTACCAATCCGGGTCTTGCACCTCACGAAGTATCCTTCTTGCGCCTCCTAGAATCCGTCAGCAATGGATCGTCTGTACAAATATCTTACACCGGTACAACGCTAGTCTACAATCCAGGTGTTATAGCCGGATCGATTGATGGATTGGGTGCAGATGTGGATGGAGTGATAAAATGCCACTTGCCGGCGAATAATACTCGGGGAGTTAGTTATTTCTTGCTGCCTTTATGTATGCTTGCGCCTTTTGCAAAGAAGGCCGTGAATGTAAGGTTTGAGGGAGAAGGAGTCATTACAAGTGCAACAGAAGCAGGAGATATATCAGTGGATAGTGTCAGAACGGCCATTCTACCACTTTACGAACCATTCGGAATCATGGCCAGCAAATTAGAAATCAGAGTTTTACAGAGAAGTTGTCCGGGAGCGGGAGGCAAGGGTGGTGGAGGGGTAGTGGAGTTACGGTTTGGGAGCCAGATCAAGGCGCTACCGAAAACTTTGCATTTGAACAGGAGTCCTGGAAGGGTGAGGAGGATAAGAGGAGTGGCATATGCGACAGGTGTGAGCAACAGTCATAACGCGAGAATGATACACGAGGCTAGAGGAATTTTGAATCCATTGGTGGGAGATATTCATATTGCGACACAGTACGATCAAGCGCCACTAGTATCAGCAAAGGACAAAACGAATCCAAGCGCGAAAAAGAGGACAGGAGTAGGTTTTGGGCTGGCATTGATTGCGGAGACCAGTTCTGCGGGTGTAATATATACGGCAGATGTGGTCTCTCCGAGCGCAGGAGGTATCGCACCCGAAGATATTGGAAAGCAGTGTGCATATCAATTGCTAGAAATTATATCACAGGGAGGGTGTGTGACGAAGGCTGGAGCACCCACAGTACTGACAATGATGGCGATGGGTTCAGAGGATATCGGCAGATTGAGACTAGGACGAGAAATAATAGCCTCAGAGGACCTAATAACACTAGGAAGAGATCTAAAAAAGTTTGGGGCAAGCAGTTGGGGTTTACGAGATGTAGACGAAGACGAAAGCGAGGATATCATAGTGAGCGTTAAGGGCACGGGGGTGGGAAATGTTGGCAGAGGCGTACAGTAGCATAATAAAGCCAATAATCACCTGTTTATCCAATTTCATAACAAATATTTACCATATATAGTAGTATGTGCAAGTTACGCTGACTTCTTAAAAGGTTATGTGGAACCTCCTTTTGTGCATCTTTTAGTGGTTCATTGCAAGCTACGCTGAAATCTTCGAGCAATAAAATCAAGCCTCGGATTCCTTGCCGTAAGCTCAGCGACATTAGCAGACAAAGAGTTTGCTCGTAACGAGCCAGAAGCGGCCCCTGAGAGAGCCAACTGACTGCGAAGGGTATTCAAAACACTGAATTCCCCTATAACGGCTGTCCCTGACCAAAAGATATCCAAAGGCCCATCATCCGATTCTCTATTCGCCAGCTCAGCTAGCAACTCTTCTCGTTCATCTTGCTCATTTTCTTCTGTAGTAAATTCTTGAGTCCGCGAGCGGGCGGCAGCTCTTGTGGGACCCAGCGACTGCATTTCAATGTCCTCCAACCCGGCAACAGGATCCCTCAATACGCCTCGTTCCTCTGCATCATAATCTTGTGTGGGGAGTGGTGTTTGCCCATCGGTGGTTTTATTTCCATAGGCCGTTAGAAACTTGTCAAGCTTCTCTCTATCCAGATGAACTGTGAATAATATGGCTTGTAAAATCAATACAAGTAAATCCAGGACTACCAATTTCAGCTTCGATGAAGGTCCTTTTTGACCAATGAGATCGATTATAATTCCTCCATGGAGATATCCTCTCATCTCCTCTGTAGACCTCGATGGCGCAAGGAAAATGTGTAAAAGTATGCAAAGAATATTCGTGCCCAATAGCATTATGACCCATGAAGAACTTTGAGGCGGCTGTCTAACATTTTTTGGCTTTGGCGTAAGGATAATAAATTGAGTGAGGGCACGTATGAATAGTTGGAAGAATGAGCAGCTTTGAATATGTTAGCTTGAGTATATCAAGAAGACTGGGGAGAGCTATTTACTCCATGTAATATAACACGCATAATTGGCAGTAAACCGCAAAGTCGAGGTTTGCCATCAAGGAGCTTGCTAACTCATACTTCTTTCTCATTTGTTCGTACGCTCTTTTTTGAGCAGGAGTGCTGGAACGATGTCGACGTCGCCGGCTCCATGGCCCACTTCTGCCATTGGGAGGGGTTGCCGATGGGCCCGATACTGATGTGGAATCATTGTTCATTGCTTTCAGGAGTCATTGATGATTTGAGATGATTTGTGTGGATGGTCGGAGATTTGGAAGTTCACATCTTTTTGAACGTGAAAAATCGAGGGCAAGTAAGACTTGCAGCTCTGATAGTTCACTGGTCCGATTATCAAAAGCTTTTGAAGCTGTTGATGCGCAACAGGATGGAATAGGCGACAGAACGGATTGGACATTGCAGGGTTGTTTAGTTTTACTTACATAAGCGGAATTGTAATGGATTCGGCAGGCTCCAATGTTCTGGTAAGATTTAAACCTTTCAAACTCGTTCAATCGTTCAGAAGAGATGAGTTGTACCGTACCTCTTCATTCTATTCTTTACATACTGGTGATCATTGAAAATCAGTGCAAGACGATAACTGTATAAATTATATTCATGTTTTGATTTTTGTGCTGCAGTGCAATGTCAATTCATTCCGACCACAGAAAATTGGACAATGCAATCCTTTTCCTATGTTCCCAAAACGAGACGTAGGAATTGCGAATTGTAGTGAAAAACTTCGGGATCGATATCATTTCTAGCTGTGACCCTAACAAGCATCGCCATTTGATCTTGCCAATTTCGATCTGATCTGGACATCGCCCTGTCATTCCATCTATCGAACCACCAATGTTTAGAACACTGGCCCATGGCTTTTGCTGAACAAACTAGTTTTGGCCAATGTGTCGGCCAGCCATGCTCAACTTCGTCTACCTTGTCAAAACACATTTGCGCAAACATATATCCGTACCTCCTCATGCCAACTATATCATCATGATGGCAAGCAATGGCCAATTCTTCCAATCCTTCGAACCTCTTGAATTCTCGCAGATTATCAAACACGTGCGGAATCAGGTAATGCTCGTGTATGAGAATCTTTTTTATCCTCCTGCATTCTTCATCCGTGATCTTTCCACCCAGTCGACCTGGGATGCTTCCCATTGATGGCCAGTTGAAGCACAAGAAGTCTCGATCATAATTGATGCAGGTGTGGGAGAAGATGGGGGACGAGAAAGTCCAATAAGCAAGTGATATTGAACGAGACTCGCTTGAGGTATGAAGTATTGGAGGAGGCTTCCGATCAGAAATGAATCGATTTTCTGATGGGGACCATGATAGCCCAATATATGGCGAGGTGAGTAAGATGGCATAGTTCCAGATTTGGAGACGAAGTTCAGTGGGTAACTTTGCGAATAAGTGGAAGGACGTAGAAAATTCAGTTGAAGATGGTGCTTTATCGGCGCAGCAAGTCATTTCTAAACACATCTTGGTGCCAGGAGATGAGTAAAGTGTAAGTTCTGTTAAAGTGGTAATGTAGTAGAGATCTCGTGGCTATTAGTGACACTTGTGGCTATTGTCTCTCAATACTTGGCTCGGGGCCAAGGAACGGCAATTGGTATCATGAGATAGCTAAAGGCAAACGAGTATAGGAAATGGCATACATTCAAGTAGTAGACGGGATATATATAAATGGACCAAACCTTACAGCTGTTGGCGTTTCGCAATGCGAGGAGGGGCGAGATCCTTGTACATGGTTGTACTGTACTCACAAAGTATACCATAAATACCGCTGGGACCTCTTTACCGATACGAGATGCGGTGATGTGATGTGATGAAGAAACATTTTTGGTAACATTGGAGTCCCCCACACCAATCTTGGGTATATTCGTTTTATTCTCGAATCTGGTGGGACAAAAATAGTACCAATGTAAGCGTCAGAGTGCCCTGGCAGACTGGGCATGTCTCCTTGACGCGGAAGTAGCCGGACAACAAATGACTGCAAATCCACCAAAATGCTAAAGATAAAGATGCCAAAAAGTCAAAAGCGCTACAATGTCATGCGTCCTTTTCATAAATTGAAAACGATTCATTTCAAAGTGTTGATGTTTTTGAAAAAGAAACCTACCTTGAGTAAATTGGGCGGATAAAATGAGGATCTAATTTAATAAAGGATTTTCTTTTTTGTTTGAGGGTGGTACGATTTTCATATCAAAAAGCAACTGAATAATTGTCAAATGAACATATGAATTGAGACATTGATAATCAGTATATTCTGAAAAAGCAATTCATTCCAGCATACAACAATGAGTATCCAGTACCCAGTAGATATCTATCTACCTCTGCTTGAAGAAGCATTGGTGATGAGTGAAGAAAGAGGGAGTAAGAGAGTAAGAGAGTAAGAGAGTGAGGGGGTGAGGGAGTGAGGGGTCGGATAAAAACCCCTCCTAATGCCTTAATTATTTTTAAGGCATCACCACACCTGAACCTTCAAAATTATTGGGTTTGAGTCACCTCTAACATTTATTACTATTGTAACAACGAACTTGTATTGTAATTCCTCCAAAAATGGCGTCCGATCTACCGTCCGAGATTCTTCAGGCTCTCTCCAAAAATGACAATATCCTTTCCTCGGAAGCATTCCCTTCTCAAAAGTCCACCGACGTCAAAGGTGCTTTGGACAGACTTGGCTCCAGGTCTATGATCACATACGAAACGATAGATCGCGAAGAAGTTATACTGGAAGCAGAGGCTGAAGAAATTGCCAACAATGGTAGTCATGAGGCTCGAGTTTTTGAGGCTCTGCAAAAGGCAATGGATGGACTCACAGTTTCTGAATTAGAAGCTGCTGTGGGAGATAAGAACGTTGTCAAGGTTGGTCAAGGTAAAGCATTCAAGTCGAAATGGATTGCGAAAGGTAAAGATGGAAAGCTGGTAGCATCAGTGAGTTATTTTTCTCCAATTCTACAGAGTTCGTTCTAAGTCTTGCAGACCGATTCTATCCAGGACACAACTCGAGAACAGCTCCAAATTATCCAAAAGACTCGTGCGCATCCAGATCCAAAAGTTATCACAGAGCTCAAGAAACGTAAGCTGGTAAAGATGCAGAAGGTTACTAGTTATAAGATCTCGAAAGGACCCAAATTCGCCTTGGAAATGGTTAAGGAAGAGACAGATCTGACAGCAGACATGCTTGCATCGTAGGTTCCAGCGACACTTTGAGTTATAATAAGTACTCACATGTCTAGGGGTGCCTGGAAAACGGCCGCTTTCAAACCATATAACTTCAAATCACTTGGAGCAGACCAGAACTCTGGTGCATTACATCCTTTAAACAAAGTACGACATGAATTCCGCCAAATCTTCTTCGAAATGGGTTTCGAGGAAATGCCTACCAATAACTTCGTCGAAACTGGCTTCTGGAACTTCGACGCTCTCTTTGTCCCACAACAACATCCTGCGAGAGATTTACAAGACACTTTCTATATTTCGGATCCTAAAACTGCAGATAAACCACGTGCAGTGGATGGGGAGGATAAAGCTGACTATGAGGCATTGTGGAAGAATGTACAAGAAGTTCACCAGGATGGAAAATATGGATCAATTGGTTATAGATATCCTTGGGCTGCGGATGAATCTTTACGACTAGTTCTTAGAACACACACGACTGCGACCTCGACAGCAATGCTACACAAATTAGCCCAACAAAAAGGTCCCGATGGACGGCCACCACCAGCAAGATACTTCTCTATTGATCGTGTGTTCCGTAATGAGACTGTTGATGCTACCCATCTTGCTGAGTTTCACCAAGTTGAGGGTGTTATTGCAGATTATGGATTGTCCCTGGGAGGTCTTATGGAATTCATGGAGGTCTTCTTCAACAAGATGGGTCTGGAAGATTTGCGTTTCAAGCCAGCTTATAATCCTTACACCGAGCCAAGTATGGAGATTTTCAGCTACCACAAGGGTCTCGGCAAACTGGTCGAAATCGGAAACAGTGGAATGTTCAGGCCAGAAATGTTGGAGGCAATGGGCTTACCAAAAGATATGAAGGTCTTTGGTTGGGGATTAAGTTTGGAGCGTCCAACTATGATTAAATATAAGGTAAGATTTCTCCCACACTCATGGATCATGAAATCAATCTAATCCGTCTTTTAGGTGAACAATATCAGAGAATTGTTAGGTCACAAGGTTGATTTGAATTTCATCGAGAGAAATCCAGCTGTCAGACTAGACAAGTCATAAGGGATTAGATAGGTCTATAAAAAATAAACGGTTGCACAGTTAAAAGACAATTGATACCCATGAGCTCCTCTCATCATAAGCACTGTGCAGGGATTCAAGGTATAATGGCTTCGAGTTAATGATCAGAACGAATTGATAATGGGTATTATACTACAATGAAAAATTTCATGATGTAAATTGATGATCGCTAATCATGATCTTCCTCCGTTAAACCTGGACAGCCATCCATGGAATCGTCAGGATATGTGTATTTGCAGAAGAAGCAATAGTTGTACTGCGACCTCAAGTGTTCAACGATCTTTTGTAGTCTCTCAGCTGGTTCCAGTAGATTGAAAGCATCAAGCTCAGGGTCCTCTTCTTCCAAATCCTCTACGAGAGTATGCTGGATCCTATCCTTTCCGAGTGCTCTCTTGTCATCCTTGTCTTCGTCCGCATCATCGTAAGTCGGTAAACGTGATAAGCTTTGTTGGAGATCATATCTCATCCTTCTATCCCTTTCCTTTTCTTCGCGCTTCCGAACTAATCCCCTCCATAAAATGTTGATCTGCTTCAACGGTTTGGTCGATATTTTGCGTTTTAGTTCGTCTTTAGTTTCCCCAGATCCTTCGCTCACGTTATCAATTGCATTCTGCAATTCCTCCTCCTCTCTTTCCCCGTGCATCCTCTCCGCAACCCGCATCGCTGCGCCTACCATCCCTTCCAATCTCGCATTCTCCCTCTCTTTCCTAACCCTCTCCCTATACTCCCCCTCCTCAGCCTTGACCCTCTTCCCATCCCGTTCCACCTCCTCCCTAAACTTCCTCTTCTTCTCTTCATCCAACCCGATTCCTCCCTTCCCTTCTTTGAACGTCACTCCCACCGGTTCCAACCTCGCCCCGACATTATCCTTCGCCCCCAGCGCAACTCCAGGCTTAAACCCCATCTTCGCCATCATCTTCAATCCCTTACTATTCGCATTCTCCGGGGCCTCCAACATCGATTTCGACAACGCGTCTTCCCTCGCAGCATTTTCCTCAGCCGCTATCTCAGCTTTTGACTTCGTGCGCGATCGCGCTTCCGATTCTCGCTGTATGCGCTGTCGGCGTTGGCTGTATGTTTCCTTCTCTCGTGGTTTGACGGGCTCGGAAATTATCATGTTCATATAATCATCCTCCTCGCCTTCTTCTTCTTCCTCTTGCGTAGCTTCATTTGAAGCTTCTGCGGCCTTTTGATCCTCTACCGTCATGATGGATGAGAGAATAAATATGATTGTTATGCTTCGTAGAAAAACAACCAATCGAATATACTCCTCAGCTTTCAAAAAAGTTTTGTTGCACGTCTGTCCGCAAAACCGAATTTGGGGCTTTTGGGAAATTTATAAATTGGATTGCAGATCTGGAAAGAGGGAGTTTGCGCGATTATAGAAAAAATTGTCCCGGGGGTTGGGAAGCAACAACTGAGGTGTGACGGTGAGGGGCGTTTGGGGAGATTCTGGGAGAGGCTGTGATGATGTCTCGAGGCTACTGATTTTACACACCAAAATTCATGTCACCGCCTTGGGCAAAATCTCGAAATTGACCAATGAAATAAATGCCGAGGTATAGCTTAAGTGCTGACCCTCAGGGTTTCTTTAAATTCACTAATGATGAGGCTGTCGTGGATAGTTCAGACGATGTATTCTTTGTGGTTTGCTCTTATATGACATTGATTAGTTTAAATCATTCATTCACAGCATTTATGGAGAGAGACATTAAAGCAAGTCACCACCAACGATCATCTCCACACACCTAATATTTCCATTCACTAGGGGAGATAGTGCAAAGCAACCAAGTGATTGGCTTCTACAAATTAAATCATTGGGTATTTGTATGTTAATCTACAAGTATTGGAGAATGTCTGCTCTACTTTACACATCCAGCAATTCCTCATCTGCTGTGTTGTACACCATCCAAGGAACGCAATCAGGAACACCCATCATCTTCGCCGCCGTTTGGGATGATTTGACGATGTCCATTCGTCCTTCTTGACCACCGTTCACCTGCAGTGCAACGATACGTAAAAGGTCTGACAATATCGTCAATGCCTCCTCTGATTTTGCTTGCTCTCGCAAGTCATCATAAACTATTCCCAACTCCGCTAAAGCCTCAATTCTTTGCGATTGGAGCATTGCTAGAACTTTCGTGACTTGTCGCACTCTCTCCTTTGTACCCTTATTAATGTTGAGACGTCTTAGTGCGGGTCCAGTCGTAGCGCCAATTGCTGTTATTTGTAAAACAATGTTGCGTGCGGTATCATCCGTAGGGTATGTTCCAAAATACTTTTGCATAGCACGCAAGGCCACTGCAGTTCCTGGTTGGTCGTCTACCAACCCAAAGTTCAATATGATTGAGTTATAAAGGTCCTTCGGTAGATCATCTTTTCTGAGCTCTGCTTTCAACTCATGTCGCCATCTCATCATCTCTGCGAACAGTTCTGCGGGGGTAAAAAATGTATGGCGTCTATGTCTTTGCATATTCCTTTGCTTTAGACTATGCCACAATTGCGAAAAGGTCTCAATGTTAGGCTTCACTCCGTCGCTGACGAAGGTATAGTACATCTCTTTCGTGTCCAAAGAGGACTTGGATTCAGCTTTGATTGCTGTGTTCATGAAGTAGGTATTTGCTGGAATTTTTGCTTTTCCTAACGTTGTGTAAAGGTCCAAAAGTTGTTCATGTTTCTGCCCTTTCACATAGTGGTCCATAAGAATTGCAAATGTTTCGATTGTTGCAGGGGGATGTAGGTTGAAGCTGGCAAGTTTGTACTCTCGCTTGTTTGTCCCCTTTACAGCAGTCAGGGGGGGCAGCAACACCTTAACCCCTTGATCTCGAGCCTTAACGAAATCAAGTCTTGCTGCAATCATAGACCAGCCCATTTCCTCAGCCAGTTTTCGGTTCTTTAATTTGCCCGTACGGAACCAGGCACCCATAAGCCCATTTGTGAATTTGGCATCAGGGCAGATCCCGAAATCTCGCATTAAATCAAGTACTCTGCTGGCTTCGTCAAGGTCGCCATTGCCAATCAATTTCTTCATCCATTTTCCAAAAAAATACTTATTGTTCAGCATGGATGGAAATTCTTCATAATCTCGTGTTGTTAACGAGTCATACCGCAAAGCGGTAGGATCTTTCGAGAGCATCATATCTTTAAAGACTGCCAATGCTTCATGATGTTTACCAGCTCGCATGAAAAGCCCACTGATCACATCATAATCCTCCATCTCCATATTCGATTTCATGTGTTTCCGAAAGTCAAGGTAGACATTCCAAGCTTCGAGCGTACGATTTTTGATCGTTGAGGCCAAGCAACCTTGTATTGTGTGAATAAGAATACGGGCGCTGAGGGGATTGTTTGATCTTTGTATGACAATCGATGCTGCCTTTCTGGCTTCATCAATATTGCCATTCTCGGCAAACATCCGAGTACCAAGCTCCAAATATTGGTCTAGAAGACTCTCATCTTTAGAAAAAGTCTGCCAAGCGGATTTCCATAGATCAATTGCGGTCCTTGGATCCCCTTCGACAAAGACAGCTTCGATGTATAACAATAATGTAGGCCCTCCGAGATGTAAACCCGCTTTCTGCATATCTAATCCGAGTCGTCTCACATGCGCCATGCGGTCCAAATTCGTCGGGTCTGGCAATGAAATATAACCCCAAAGAAGTTTCCACGTTTCTGGGGAAACTTCACCAGGATCTGACAATATAGTTTTTCGGCATAAAATGTACTGCTTCCATAACTTATGCATCAGGTTTTCATTCATTTGAAAATTGCTACGACCATAATGATGATCAATTTTCTGCAACGTGCTATTCAAAACTTTTAAATGAGGTCGGGCTGAGACAGGGTATGACTTTTCTGGAATTAAGATAGAATTTGAGTTCGATTTTGGATTGGTGATTGAATTTGACTTTGTTTCTGGGGCGAGAAACTGTTGTGTTGTGGAAGAAGTCGGAGGTGGAGATAGCTCTGTGGAAGTCTCAGCTTCATCTACGACAATTAGCAGGCGTACTATGAATCAGTACATTGAGACTTGCCTTCCTCGACAGACTTTAAGAAGTAGTTCCGTATCTGTTGCCGGTCTTCTTCCGACATAGGGCCTGGCTTGTTGGTAATGCCTTCTAGTCTATCCACCTCGGCTTGCAGGCGTTCTATCTTTGCATCCATTGCATCTTCCCATTCTTCCATATGGAGGCTTGGTTCTTCATCTTCGTTAACCTCCTCAAGTTCTTCCGCCGAAACTTCCCCAATATCTTCTTTTATTTCTCGAACTGCCTCTTGAAGACCTTCCAGCAATTCCTCCTCTTCAGGGTCAGCCTGCGCTTCTGTTCGAACACCATCCGGAGTCTCGTCATAGTATTTGTAAAAGGGCTCATCAGTCTGCTCAAGTTGTTGCGTTTCCGTCTTCGAGGCAAGTGGTGGCACTTTTCCCCCTCTATCTATCGACCTCAGCGGGGCTTTTTGTGCCGTAAAATGTCTTGAAAGCCATGGTGCTCGCGGGGGGATCTGTAGTTTTGTTCGGCATGACTTGCATACGAAACCACGAATACTAGAAGTGAAATTGGTGGGTGGCGGCGGCATAAGTATTGATGTTGATGGGTCCAATAAAAAAAGTTGAGGTGCGGGAAACTTTTTTTTGATAAGCTATGATGCGCACTGCGCAGCATGACTTCGCTTCCCATTCGCGACAACAAATGACGACCACGTCGAAATCTCACGCGTACCCCTTTCTTTTTCAATCGATTGATATCAATTAAAAATGTCTATAAACGGGGATAATAATAGTATTACTGGATTTGATGGAACAGAGCATCAGGTAAGTTGTATTCTAAATTCTACTCTGCACCGAATTAATCTTCAATAGGCGGCCTATGTATTTACTCCTACCTCTATACCTTCAGAAGACCTACTTCAGCGACCTAAGAAGCGTAGGAAGGTAGGAAAGACGGCAACAAAAGCCCCTGATATCAGTGGCGATGTAGAGCCTTTCAAACTTGCACCATTGTTTGATGAGAAGGAGTCTCATGAACTTTCAAATCTACGTTTAAACTTATTTAACAAGTATTGGCCGGAAACAGAAACAAAAATCCAGGCATGTATCCTAAACTATACGATTTCAACATTATAGCTGGCTAATACCATGATAGTCAATCCTGAATAAAGCAAATGAGGGCACTTTGTCAGAGGTCACATCCTTTGTAGAAAATGAAAGGTATGCATAATCTGGTATAATTAGTGAGATGGAGTCTGATAGATACTCAAAGGAGCATAGGCAAGGTCCCAGCAGGCTTTATTGTAACTGGGCCAAATATCACGTCTCAAGGCTTGCTTTTTGAACAACTTTCAACAAGACTTTCCAACGAGTTTAATGGTCCTGTTGTCACTCTTAGATCCGGAGAATCGTCAAACTTAAAGGTACTGCTTAAAAAGCTTATTAGAGATGTTACTCATCAAAAGTCAAATGGCGAAGACGAGAATGACAATTTCCTTGAGCAAGATGTGAGTCAAAATTTCCAAACACTCACCTGATATAGTCTTGCTGATTCTCTAGGGTCGTAAACTTCTGAACTATGATTTGGAAATCATTCATGGTTATGTTAAAGCCCACGGGTGTGATAAAGTGATTGTATCATTTCAGGATAGTGAAGCATTTGACTCTAGTCTGCTTGGAGACGCAATATCCTTGTTCAGGTAAGTTGATATATCTGTTCCTTCTCCTATCTACTTTCTAATACTTAAGCCCTCAGCTCCTGGCGAGATCGCATCCCATTTTTTCTGTTGTTTGGAATTGCTACATCCGTCGAGTTATTCCAAGAACGCCTTTCTCGTGTCGCTGCTCGATCTTTACATGGAGCACAATTCGATGTGGAGCAAACAAGCTCCATCCTTGAAAATATATTCTTAGAAGTTATCGCTGGATCAGATGCTCCGATAAGACTGGGACCAGGCATTCTATCGAGTCTTATGGAACGTCAAAATGATCATGTTCAGAGTGTACAAGCTTTTATTGGGGCTTTAAAGGTATTTCTTCTCTTGAATTTTTAGGCAAATGTTTACTTACATGGTTAGTATGCGTACATGTGTCATTTCTATGCCAACCCTTTGAGCATATTCCTGGGCCTCGCAGACGAACTTGAATTGGGACCCCTTTTACAAATAGAGCATTTTGAAGCTATTAGAATGTTTCCATCATTTCAAAAATATACTGAAAGGCTTGTAGATCAAGGCGAATTAGACCGGGCCATGGGGTTGATTAACGATGATGAGCTCCTTCTACAAGAGGTAGAAAGTTCTATCAAAGGCAAAGATTGTGCAGTGCAGAAGATCCTCAGAATCATGCATATTCTAGTTACTTTGGCAGTCGAAGTACCAGAGAAGATCGATCTCTATATTAAAGCATCAACTGGTTCATTAAAGAACTCTGAAATTGTGCGTTCGATTGTGGATTCAATTAAACGCGCAAGTCTCGATGATTTTCTAGGGATCATTACCTCACTCAAAGAAGCTGTAGAGAGTGGAAGCACTGAGCTGAATCTCGAATCATGGTCGGATATGGAACCGGAATTCTATTCAGAAATCGCGAGTATCATGAAAGACGCTTCATCACTCGCAGGCTCGGATACAGGAAAGTCTATCCGCAGCAGTTACAACAAAGCACTCCGCACTACAATCATTTCTCAGAAGGTCCAAATTAGTCAGGATAGATCAGTACTCACAAAGCAAGACAAAGAGTTCACAGCGCTCGTTGACCACTTAATTCAAGCCATACAGAATTTCGTAGATGTGGACAAATTACAAGATCAATTCGTTTCCGAAATTTGGCTCTACGATCTCAGGTTGCCCTATCTAGATGCCTTTACACCTAAACCCCGGTTTACAATCGAACGGGCCCTGTCCTCACCGCACGACTATCTTTCTTGTGCATGTTGCGACCCTACGCAAGAGGGAGCACTAATGTCTCATCCACCTACCGCGATTTTATACAAACTGTTCTTAGAAGCAGGAAACTTGATTAATATTTTCGATCTCTGGACTGCCTTTATTGCTAACCTGGGACCGGAATACGACGAGGGCGAAGAGAGCGAAAGACAAGCTTTGATGTTATTTTACAGAGGGCTTGCAGATTTGAAATTGTTGGGCATGATCAAGCAGAGTAGAAAAAAGACGGATCACTTGACGAAATTAGCATGGAAGGGTTTGTAAACTTGGGGTCACTAGGTGGCAGGATATGAGAAATGATAGAGGATGCAGTTCAAATATAATTATATTAATCTTCGAATGCAAATGCTCAACGCATCAAATAAAACGTATCTAGTTGTCCATCAGCACCCAAATCTAATACCACTGATTCTTGTTCCTAAACATCTCCTCTTCAGCCCTTCTAACCCTCTCCTGTCTAACTCTCCTCTCAATTTCCTCGACACTCTCAACCGGACTTTCACACCCTCTCAACCCAATGAATCTTCCCAGCCTCCTCCTCTTGGTCTCCAAATCCGCATTTACATCCCAATACACCGGACACGGATAATGCATCGTCCACTGACACGGAGTGCGCTGATGATAAAAATGCGCGAGCTCGTCTAGTTCCGTGGATGTGAGAAGCCAGAAATTCAGAAGTTTCTTGGGAAACGAGGGATGAATTTGACCTGTTGTGAGACGAACGAGTGGTGCGAGGGGAAGGGCCATTTGAGATATTTTGGCGGCGAGCTCGGGATTGGTTTTGCTGAGACGGGTCATGGTTGGCATGGTTGAGTTGTAGTATATCTTGTATGCGGTTTGAGGTTTGTGGGTGATCAGATGAGTTGAGTTGATATGTTTAATATGTTTTGGTTTTTATTACCGTACAGTATTGGTTACGACTGGTTTGCGTGATGGTTTTGGTGGTGGTGATCAGTGTGAAGCTGTGAATGTATATAAAGATGTTTCCGCAATGAATCAGACGAGGGGAGAGTATATAATTCTATGATAACTACATTCGCAAAAGGATGAAAAAGATTATTCGCAAAGCTGCCAGCAGCGTAAAGATATAAGTCTAGGATGAAAGTCAAAGTATAGAAAAAACGAAATATAGGAAATTGTGCGGATGCCAGATGCCGATAGAGATGAATAGATAAATAGGGGAATGGAAAGTTCTTGTAGTTTTTGTCTTATTATGAGACTTAATTGTGTTGAAGAATTTCTTTGTATTTAAGATCAACTTGGGCTTTGTTGCAGGATCATGTCTTTGATGTTGTTGTAATCTGAGATCTATTTTTGAGGCTTGAGTTAAAGGACTCTTGAGACAGCCTTTGTGAAAGGTTCTGACAAGGCGTTTATGATGAATTCTCTCAAAGAACCTGTCTATGCAAAAGTCTAAAATAGCGGCAACTAGAAAGACGCCTAAGTCCAAGTGTGAATATGTCCACTATAGAGACTACTCAAATGTTGCGGTAAGAACCACTTCATATAGTCATGTGATGTGAAGAAATTGATAAAGCTTGAAAGTAAAGCGTACAAAAATCGAAAGGCCCGCTGGCCCTCTGGGTGCTAAATTTTATATCGTGTCTAACCAGTGAGTTGAACTGGTTACTACAAATCTTGATACACCCCTCGTAACCTATGCATGCAATATCTTACAGCCGCAAAAACGCCAGACACCAAAAACGCCTTGTGCGGAAAAGATTCATGCCATTGTACAGTGCCCAGCAGCTAGTAAAACACGCTTTATTTCTTTCCCTTCTTCTTCCTGTTGGGGCTTCCTTGTTCGCTAGCTGCTGGCCCTCCTCCTTGAACTAGAATGGCATCCTCGTCGCTCATGACACTCTGGGCCTTGGTTGGCGAGGTAACCTTGGATGCCTTGGCTTCTGCTTCTTGATCTAACTCTTTCATAAATTCTGACTGGATTGAGGCTCGACGTTTCTCCCACCACTCCTTCTCAGATTGGGTTCTGGCTTGAATGTCATCGAGGCTCTTTCTGAACTGATTATTCGTGTAGATTTCGTTGGCGGACTGGAAGATTGTCTGTCCCCAGTTCGGTGCCAATCCATTTGCCTATTCATGGTTAACTGTATTCAATTTCACCAAGCTACTAGTGAGAGAAATCTCAGCTTACCTCCATAACCACATCCCTAAGCTCCTCTTCCATTTCTTTCTCTGCTCTCAAGAATCTTTGCCATAGATCATCGCCAACACTTCCCCTCTGTAATAAGGTACTGCATGCTTGCTTCGCTGTTCTAATATGAATAATTCGGTAAATATCTTCGACAGCCCTTCTTAATAAAGCCGCTCGAATAAGCTCCGCTGGTACTTTTGGCGTTTTCTCGTCCCCCTCTTCTGGCTCAAGATGGGCTAGAGAAAAGTAAATGTTCCTTTGCAGATGTGGTGGAAACCAAGGCGCAAGAGTCGCAGATTTAACTATGGGTACCTGTTAACTTTGCGCATAACCTTAAAGCCAGATTATAACTAACCTGCTATGCGCTTTCTATATAAAGAAGAAAATGTTATTAGAGATCCGACGAGGACAACGACATATGCGAAAGGAAGTATTAGACCACGGAGGGTGGTTGCGTAATCGAAGTCTTTAAACATGGTTGCTGCTGTCACTATGTCGAACACAAATCAACAATCTTTGAGCCTTCCCAGAGATTTGGGATATATCGGATCGAAAAAGGGCCAATGTCTAGGAAGGGTGGTTGAAGTTTTCCGACAAAGACGGTGCAATTGTTGGAGGTATCAAAATAGTAGATTTCCTCTTATGTGCTGTGTGTCCTTTATTAATCTTTATTCTATCGCATTCTGCCACTTCAGGACAAATAACCTTAAAGTCACTTTTTTTGACTAAGAAGACAAGGCTCATCGCTAATAAATGAATAACCAATTAAATCAATTTAACCCGATCTAACTAATTTGGAGAATCACTCAAATTCCATCCTTGTAATTATTATATAATACTGATAGTATTTATACCCAATTCTTGTATTTCTTGTATTTCTTATAATTCGGATTACAAAGGCGGTGAATTACCTACCTTGGTAAGTGGCATGGCAGTTCTCGATGGTTCCTACCTACCTAACTGCTTCCCGTAGGCTACCGAATTCTGACGTACAGTCGTCTTCCTAGCCTTGATAGTGGGATCAGTATTATTTACTTAGAGCTTAAGAGCTTCAATTTACACAATTAACAATCCAAACAACCCAAGCAACGCAACTTCTCAACATCTCAAGAATTAGGAAGAACCTCAAAGATTTTGTCCCTTAATACTTAACTTTTTGTCTTTTGTTCTTTAATACAATAGTCCTACCTCGGATACATTTCACCTATTTGAATAAATTTAAGAAACAAACTACTTGATAAGAGGTCAAGATGCTTTTAAGATTTCGTGGTCCTGATGGAACAGTTCGTATTACTGTGGAAGCAAATGAAACTTTTGCTCAACTTGGCGAGAAGGTTGGTCTAAGGTATGCTGTATGTATTGTAGTGAACTTCTGCTAATATGCTATAGCTTGTAAAACTCCTACCTGAGAACATCGACCCGAAGACATTAACACTTTCAAATGCGCCGAGTGGTGGTGAGGTCAAGTCACTTGTAGAAATTGCAAGAGCCAAAGTCTCGCAGATTGGTCTCAAGTAAGTCAGGTATATGTAAAGCCTCTAGAATGTTGTATTGACCAACTGAAGGAATGGTGATATGGTATTCATAAATTATAAGCTCTTGGATAGTCTTTCAAGTGGCAATGCTACCCCTTCCACCTCGACTGGTCCTCCATCTCAACTCGCCTCGTCAACAAATCGTTTAAATGGACATGTCGTTTTACCAGAATCAATACCTATCGATGTTCCAGCTCAAGAAGTAACTTCGCCATCGGAAAAGATCAAGAACCCGTGGGAGTTAGTCAAACAATCCGATCTCGATAATAGGCTAGACAAGAAAGATGGAAAGATTCCCAGAAAGAAGGATCAAAAGATGTGTCGACATGGTGAAAAAGGAATGTGCGACTACTGTATGCCATTAGAACCATTCAATGCGGAATACCTGGCCGAGAAAAAGATCAAGAACCTCTCCTTTCACTCGTATCTGCGAAAGATCAACTCGGCGACCAACAAACCAGAGCTAGGAAGTTCCTTTATGCCACCATTGACGGAGCCGTATTACCGTGTGAAGAAAAACTGCCCGTCAGGGCATCCTCAGTGGCCCGAGGGTATTTGTACTAAGTGCCAACCGAGCGCAATCACTTTACAGCCGCAAGCATTCCGTATGGTGGATCATGTTGAATTCGCTCAAGCAAGCCTCATCGAAAACCTACTTCAATTTTGGAGGGCGACGGGTGCACAACGTTTTGGGTATTTATATGGTCGCTACGAGGAGTATTCAGAGGTGCCATTGGGAGTCAAGGCTGTTGTGGAAGCTATTTACGAACCGCCACAAGTTGACGAGCTCGATGGCGTCACATTAAACGAGTGGGAATCCGAAAAGGATATCGACGAGATTGCGAGATTGTGTGGCATGGAGAGAGTTGGTGTCATCTGGACTGATCTCATTGACTCAGGCGTAGGAGATGGCACTGTCTTGTGCAAGAGACACATTGATTCATACTATTTATCATCGCTGGAAATCGCATTTGCAGCACGTTTACAAGCAAAGCACCCAAAGCCAACGAAATGGAGTGATACGGGCAAATTTGGGTCCAATTTTGTTACCTGTGTAGTGACAGCCGATGAGACCGGAGGAATCGCCATATCTGCATATCAAGTCTCCAACTCAGCCGTGGAAATGGTTCGAGCAGATATTGTCGAACCATCCGCCGATCCTGCTGTGATGATCGTTCGCAGCGAAGGAGATGATGATTCCGATACGAGCGCACGATACATCCCTGAGGTCTTCTTCCGAAAGATTAACGAGTATGGTAGAAGCGTTCAAGAGAATGCTAAGCCATCTTTCCCTGTAGAATATTTACTCGTCACATTGACTCACGGCTTTCCTAGTGATCCTAAGCCAGCATTCATGGCTAAGAGTTCTTTCACTATTGAAAATCGTTTGGTCCTTGGCCAGGAACAAGATCTCAAGGACGTTGGAAAGCAATTAGGACTTGACAAGAGCGGGCAACTCACTCAATCGCCTGATGGCGTCCTCGCGGTGTCTGACTTCCATCTCCTATGCTTCATCTATAGTATGGGTATTTTAAGCAAAGTTCGTACCAAATTTCTCTTATTCCGCACCCGTAAGCATGATACTAACAAAATCATTCGTAGGAAGAAATGGCACTTCTCTGCCGTGTGGCAACTCAACACGATTTAGCAGACGGATACCAATTGATAGCAACCCCTGGCTGGGCAAATTTCCTTGCAATTTTACAATCGACTGGTGAGCGACCCCCAAAACGTCAGTCGCCGTCCGATGACGATGGTCCTGCGGAGCGTCTTGCTAAAAGGGTTGGCGGAGTTAGGCTAGATTGAATAAGTAGTCTACCCCTAGACTGTCTTGTTCTTTTGAGGCTTATACTCTGATAGTGATAATAGGTTTCTAATCGCCAAAACGTCTCGATGACTATTCAAGTCTACAGGACAGAAGGGAAAGAGGTTTGATAAGGAGGTTTGCAGCATGGATTATTGGCGTGTACGAAGGGGGGGCCAAATCAAATAAAAAAACGACAGGGCAATGAGGAATTTTAGGTGCTTGGTGGATAGAGCGGTGACTCTGGTGTTAACGAAGGCATGCATATATGGCGCAGGATATCCCGGATAGGGAGAAGGGAGAAGCAAAGCATCAGACAGATATTTTGTTGCGATATACGACATATTATAAATTAAATCAGTTAACACATTCACGTCTTCTATTGATGAGAATGCTGTGAATGGTCTAATGTATTTTTTTGTCTTTTTCTTCTGTCGCCCGTAACAATCTCGATTGTGTAGTATCTAAAATTGGATCAGATTTAGCTCACATAATTCTCAAGTCAGAGGGAGCAAGGAATGGGACTTTCTACTGGGAACTTGTCACATCTAGCAATTATAAAGACTTTAAGATACCCAGATGACTGAGGCATATATATATGAACTCTTCCTTGTAACAAATGCTCAGGATTGTTTACTTAAAAGTACCTAGTAGTCAAACAGCTTCTTATGAGTTCGAATTCAAGTTTAAACTAACTATCTAATAATATAAAACTCACTGATAGATGCTCTCTAAAGCACCCAACAATCATATTGTGAGCATAGACATGCATACTCGGTTGGATAGCCAGCTTCTCACGAAGGATCACGTAGGAAGAAAGTGTTCATCTGAAAACAAGGGTTCAATTTGAAAATGAAGAGATTTTGTCTGTCAGTTGGGGATATTCGCAGTTGTGGGAGTTTGGATAGAGAAATGGGGAGGGAGGAGGTGAGGAGTAGGGTGGCTTGGGTGGGAAATTATACATGGGATGGTCTTGTGGATGAGGAGGGAGTTGAAACTTGGAACTTGAGAGGTGGGGTTGTGAAGGTGGAGTAGGGGTCGGTGGGATGATGGTCGTGGAATTGATAATTAGGGCTGTGTTTCAGAGGGGAATCTTTAAGGTGTTGGTGTATTTGGTATGGGGGAGGAGATGTAGAAGTAGATTTGCGAGGGGGGTAGTGGTTGTTTTGTGGTTACTTGGGTGTGTTATTGTGTGGAATTCTGTTTATGGCGAGAGTCTGAGATTACCTCGAGGGTGATGATGTAGATTTTGAGGAGAGAGAGTTTGAGGGCTGTTATAAATGTGAGTTGTTGGTGGTGCTATGAATTGAACTTTGCAGAAGGAGACAGAGATCAGATACTATCGTGGCTTTTGACGTAGATATTAATACTATCTGATATAGAAGTGAATCAAGCAATGAGTTCTTTACAACTTCCAAAATGATTAGAATGGAGGAGTGGTTCTATGTTTTAGAAGGGACGATATACATGCTGATGAAAAGACTCGAGCAAGGGGCAAGAACGACCGACCAACGGATGAAAAGGCAAATTTTGAAAGAGCTCCTGATTATTTGGAGAAAAGGGTCCTGCTATTATTCAAACATATCATTGTAATCATCACCGTCATTATTTTGGCAGCCACTCGTTTCGTCACTCATTTGAGGGTATTCTTAATCTTAAATATCTCGACAGTATACCGATCCCCTTTCCATCAAGACAACTCCATGACAGCACTCCGACTGCAACTCTATCTAGTTGATACCTCACTCGTTTTACGAAAAGAAATTTAGGCTCGATGCCTAGCCTCGATACAAGCTAATCAACCGAATCGGAAACTCCGCCTACCCTTGGAAATTTTTCTCATAAATCTAGTCCTGAGAGCAATACATCGAGCCCTCCACTCTCATCTGGCTCATTCAAGCGATCACTCAAAATTCGTATTGTGCCACTGACCTTAGTTGGCATTTCAGAGGAGGAGGGGGTCATCCAGAAGTTTGTTAAGATGACTCCGACTATGAAGGTTATCGGTGAAGGCAATGGTTTAGAACTTACCACTTTTACTCAGTATGAAGCTGTTCCTCAATTGATCGATATTTCTATTCCTTCGCAAGATATTGAATTTGGTAATCTTTGATCCCAACCAGATTCTCGTTCGAACTGACTTGTGAATATTCAGATACCACAGAAGCCAATGGACAACCTGGACTCATGACAAAGCGTTCCGCCAGTGTAGGATCACAACCTGCTCCCAGTAAGAGGCCAAAAGTCAAGACATACAGACCCTCTAAATCTTCGGCATGTAAAGAGGGGCGCAAGTTTAAGCAGGTTGAGAAAGAAAACGATGACATCTTTGAAGACGAACTTGTTGAATCAAAAACCTATACAGAAGCCCACTCTCATTTCCACACTGCGCCATCAACACCAACAAAGCGTCTATCAGCGACTGAAAAGTTTGATATGGATGGATCACACGATACTAAGCCCGAATTTCCCACTGGTACGACTATTAAAGACTTTGGTGCGTTGCCTGACCATCTTCGAGGTCCTTGCCTGGAAGTCAGTCCTAGAACGAGCGTTTTGGATGGTCCATCTGCTGTTCTGAACGTAGATAAACTTTTGTTTATGAACAAGCGTGATAGCTCCCTAGAATCATCGCTCATGAGACCTCTCGGAGCAGTGCCCGAAGGGTCAATAGCAGCATCGCCATTGCCAGAGGTACCGACAGAAATCACGGAAGATATCATCGGACAATCGGATGGTCCTGCTCAATATCCATCTATTGCAGCTATTGAACCAAATGTTGGTGGTGATTCTCCAATTACAGAGTTACCAGTCAGCCCAATTGCGAAAGATAAGAAGGATGAAAAGCGCACTCATAAAGTTATAAATAAGTTTCGATCGGGAGTACGCAAGGGTAGATTTCGTTGCCTAAGAACACCTGTATTGGTGGTAATTCTCGGAAAGGAGCTTTCAAAGCCAACCAAAGTAGCTATTCAGAATATCGCAAACGGATTGCCTTCAGGACTTGGTGATGTAAATCCCCTTCCCGCGTGATAATGCGGACGTCTTTGATTCGAGAACTGAGGTTAATTAAAACCATAAGATGCAAACAACACTAGAGCCATCGGCCTCGCTTCCTATACTTGAACAACTTTCACCTACTCCAGTAGCAGGGGACCGGTGCTGTCCTGAGAGCCCTGCAACTTCGTCAGAGAGTAATTGCTGCAGCGAGGATTGGAATTGAGAACTCGATAATGATTGAGAAGATGAAATGGTGTGTCAGAATGGATATTGTCATACACCCTAATACAAGAAACCTGTGAACCTTGTTCAATGATCTCCAATGATGACCTGTGAGACGCCCTAATAGTCTGTAGTATTTTCGGTGAGCCATTATGAGATGAGCTCTCCTTGGTAAGATTTTGTTGTGAAGTACAGATGAAGTTTAACCATCTTTCAGCATAAAAAGCTGAGCAGTGAGGAGAGCAGCTTAATTTTTCCAACTGGAACCGGGCATCCCTTCAATGCGTCCGTTTGTAGATAGCCATCTCTTTGAATTACCGCGACTATGAAATTCGTACCTCGAATAATTCATATGCTCTAGCACATCGTACAAACTAGAGGCCAACCAGTGACAACGACATGTAAGTTTTGTAGACAAACCCTTCCAGCAGAATCAAAAAGACCTTCAGTACTTCGAAGAAAGCTCTTAGTTAATATTGTATATCGTATTTCGTAATGAGTTATATACTTTTTTTACTCAAAAAACATGAGATATAACAAGTGAATTGATCAATACATGTACAATTGCCATCCAGACCAAAATCTAGACTCACAAGTTCCACACACCAACTCCAACCGATCAAACCCCACTATTTCCCCTCCTCCAAACCAATCCACACCTCTTACTCAATCGACCCCACTAGACCCCTGCAAAAATGGGCAATAACCTAATATATGTTTAAAAACGGCGGCTTCGTCAAACAAACATGCCAAACTCCAGTGACGCGTAAGTTACTGCCTCCATTCCAAAAATGAAGGTACATCATGGCTAATATACAAATTATAGAGTGGTTAGCGTGTCGTTCTTATATTCTTCCCCTTGTGGATCAATATGAAGTTATGCGAAAGTCGTGGGTTCGACACCCACCTGGAGTAACAATCTCTGGTAGACACCAAAACAACAAACCTTTTTTTCTTTTTGGATTCCTTTTTGCACATTTTGGGAAAAGGTGGTTGTTTAGTTGGTTGATTCCTTATTGTTTTTTGGGTTTGGATTTGTGGTGTAAGTGATAGGTCCACCCATTTTGGTTTTTGGTGGAATGTGATATTGGTACTTATCTACCGCGTCTGCTTTTGTAAAGATATCAAACTTAAAATTAGGATACATCTTCTCGGAGAGTAGTCCAATACTCTCTGAGAAAGCTTTATGATTTGTGGCTACTTCGGTATCAAAGATACAAACCTACGGGACGTTCTCTTAATTTTTGTATCAAGGAGTTGCAACTGGTCATAATCGCATGATAGACATATCTGCACTGCACTGCACAAGCATGATCAAGTACCTCGGATAGAAGACTGCATTGACCATATAGAATTGAAAGATGTAAAGCGAAACACCACCCCTGTGTATATCCATATATGAACGGCTCCGCGCCGACGCAATAAATCCATGCATAGCGTCCTGAGATCATGTAAACAACGCTGGGTATTTGGCATTCTCAAACTAAAACAAATCTTGCTTGTCTCGATTATTCGACGCTTGTCTCCCAAAGATCCATGTTTTCGACCTGCTTCTGTTCTCTCTTTCATCAACCAGATGCTCGCCCTGTCTCTACCCGACTCTGAACCCATCCTCCGCCAGAACACTCATTCCCTTAACTCCGCCATTTAAACTCTCAATGACATGCCGTCTCTTTCGCAGCCGAAGTATCCTTTCCAAATATCAAGAAACCCACAAATGCACCAACTCCTACTGCAATCATGACCCATCCATTATATGTCATGAAGAGCAACCTAGAACTTCATTAGTAACTCTCCGCTGAGAGGATAGAGTAAATACTTACATCAACATAAATGCATAAAAATACTGGAAAGCATATAGCGCAGCTTTAATAACATGTGCTCTCTGACCCACTTCTTCTTGATTGCGTCCTGCCCAGAGAAAAGGCGTATTTTCAGTAACATCATCCACTTAATTCACACACATAGTCTCAGCTTTTCATTCCACTGCTCAGGTATGAAAGTCGAGGGAGGAAAAGCGCGCATGGGGGAGAGTAGAAAAGTAAGAGAACTCACGGGTTATAGAGCCTTGTTGTCTGTCGACCCAGGATTCATAGCGACGGGTCAGGGAGCGGATGCCTTCGTATCCGGCGGTGATGGCGACGACGCCAACGAGGGAAATGAGGAGGGAGAAGGTGGAGCGGATGTGCCACCAGCGGAAAATTATACAGAGATTGTTCGTGTCCCAGGTGAAGAGCATCTGCAATTGAGGTTAGCGATTGAGCAATCGAGAGAGTCGAGTAGATTGACAACGGACGTTCATGTTACATCTATCTCCTCCCATATCCATTCCCATATCGTGCATGCTGTGATCCATATGTGAATGATCCATTGTGAATCGAATGTTACAACAATTTGTATATAACTGAATCGATCGATATCGATGAAGTGTATGGTAATTCGAGTTTGCGAAGGTCCGTAAGATTTCAATGAAAGAAGATGATGCTTCTGAAATGGATATTAAAATGATTCTATATATATCACTATCTACTCGCACACTGCTGTTGGAAGACAGGCGTAACTCCCTAGGGGTTAATTGCACCAATTACAGAGTGTTATGAATCGATGGTGCAATGGTCCCCTAATTTACCTTCTCAAATGCGCTCAAACCAAGCTAATAAAGCGCCAACAGCTCTGTCTGACAAGCTCCATGTGAACACCAAAAGCGGTACACTGAATCACTCAAACAGAATCATACGTTGATGAGGACATTTTTATTGTCATCTCATGATTATACTATCTTAAAGCTTGCAAGTATAATCCTCTTCCCTTTTTGGATTTGAAATAATGATTATTTGATTTGATACTGAATTACGAAAAGAGTGTACGAGTCTTCCGCATATTCTTAGACAACCTTGGAAGCTCGAGACAAGACAAGCTGCACTGTTCTTTATCAGATAATGCACGGACATCGGTGTTACAGAAGATAAGCTATTTCATACTGCCGCAACCGGTTTCATCGGATGTGAGGGGCAAGACTCATCAATTCGATCATGAATTTCTAAACTGAGCTTGGCAACACTGTATTATACAACCTTTATAATTTCGTCCAAGATGCTCACCAGTCCCTTAAACCTGCCCAAGTGGTAAGCAAATTTCGAGATCATGAAAGGAATCTGTTTTAACAGTGACTCGATAGGCTCGAAGAGAACTCTCATCTCTTGAAGCCTCCCATTAACAACTACTGCGTGTACAATAAGGATGTGACTGTCATGGTACGATCATCACCACCCATCACTGTCTCAGACAATTTCTAAGCTCCGCAGATCGTAGGAGGCCCCAATGCACGAACCGACTATCACATAAACGAGACCGCAGAATGGTTCTACCAATACAAGGGAGCTATGATGTTGAAAGTGGTCGATGAAGGCGAATTTAGGGATATTATCATTGGGGAGGGAGAAATGTTTCTATTGCCACCAAATACGCCGCATAATCCTGTTCGATTCGCAAACACAGTTGGCATTGTGCTAGAGCAACCAAGACCAGCGGGTTCATTAGATAGATTGAGGTGGTATTGCACAAACTGCCGCGACGTGGTGGAGGAAGCTTCTTTCCATTGTACAGACTTGGGCACGCAAATCAAGGAAGCTGTGAACAGCTTCAAGGATAGTGAGGATAGGAGAAAATGTAAGAAATGCGGGACAGTCGCGGAATCAGCGCCTCCGGTAGGATCTATCAAGGATCCAAATATCGCTTGATTGATGAGAAAAGGAATAATGAAATAACAAAGTCTTTCGCATAAAGTCTAAACTCTCATACATATTGTCGGGTATCCTAGTGTAAACAACCTGTGTAAATTGCTCAAGTCTCCTTGAACTGATATGTACTCGTCGACTCTTCAACTGCAACTTCAATCTTTCCTTCCTCCAACTCCTTACCCCCAACACTAATGCCGACTCGCATAACATCTCCGGGCTTCACAGATCCAACTCCCTTTGGTGTACCAGTCAAGACAATATCTCCTTTCTCCAAAGTCATAACCTTCGAGATATCGCTCAAAATTCTCGGAATTCGGTACAACATCAATTCTGTAGAATCCTTTTGCCTGTGTTCGTTGTTGACTGTAAGCCACACGGTAGCATCATGAGGATCCGGAATTTGTGATTTGGAAATGATGTTGCTCATTGGGAGGAAGGTGTCAAATCCCTTCGCGATATCCCATGGGAGACCCTTCTTCTTTGCTTCGTTTTGGACATTGCGAGCTGTCATATCAATGCTCATTGCGTAGCCTATGTAATTCAATGATTAGAAACCAAATTGAGTCACCCATTCTAGAATACGCACTTTCGATAGAATCATAAGCTTCCTTCTCATTCTCCGGCTCGAGATTCTTGACCTGTTTCCCCATGATCAAAGCCAATTCCACTTCATAATGCAAATCCACACCCTTTGGTCGAATGACAGCTCCACCATTTGGAGGGAGAATCGAGGAAGGTGGCTTGAGGAAGAAGAATGGCTGTTTGGGCTTGCTGTTGTTCAATTCCGTGATATGATCTCTGTTGTTCAATCAGTTCAGCTATACCGTATACTTTGAAGACACTCAGTTGAGGGATTCCAAGAAGCAGTTCATGGCCGAGGAGGAAGAGGAGTGGGGGTAAACATACACGTAGTTTCTCCCGATACATACAACTTTTGAAGCACTCTTGAAAGGAGATATGGTGGCAATGCCACGGCGGAAGATTAAAGACATATTGAATGAAGTATACCAAAATACAAATATTCAAAACTTTTCATATACAATCCAAAGGTGTGGTTACTTGAAGCTCAAATAAGTGAGCAATTCGTGTGGAGATCTTATTATGACCCTTCAGTGGAGACCCCGCTCGGCCACCGACGGGATAAGCTTTCCGGCAGCTCTGATCGGTTCCGAGGATTATGAAGACTTGCATCTTTGTATGCGGTATTGCAGATATATATGATGAGATAGATTCCTGAATACCAAATTTTTCAAATTCTCGAGAAATTTCAATTTAGTATTGAATCAAATCATATTTGAGCATCTAACTCTTGAATAAAAGATAATTACTCGCATCTGGTACTCCAAGCTTTTCAAGAGAACCTCTTTTTCCCACCTGCTGTCTCCTGTCCGCTTGTTCATGCAACGCTTTATCGACCCTTTCCTGTGACATTTTCATTCCCCTTTGGCCCTTTTCTTGGAGCTTGTGTCGATTGTTATAATATGCAAGCAATGTCTTCGCGCGCATGAATTCTTCATCCCTCTGTAATATAATATGTTAGCTATCATTCTAATGCGACTGAGTAGAATCTATAACATACGCCGCTACTTATCCTTCTTTCAAGACGACGTTCTCGAGTCTCTCGCATGGATTCCTCGGTTTCTGGGAGATCAATTGAATCCATAGAGGAGTGTTTCCTGAGCGGAGGAGACGGCGACTGAACAACAGAAGGTGGTGTGGGTATGCGTCGACCGAGGCGATCAAATTTTGCCGTTGGTTGTGAATGGATTGACGTCTTTCTTTCGTCTATAGTGGCCGACACGGTGGAGAGGCTGCGTAAAAAGGAGAGGGTAGCTCTAGGTGGCTGCGCATAAGACTGGTTAGCATGCATACTCAGAGAAACATCGATATCGTGTGTGGGGATGCGCGTGGAGATGTGGGGAGCCATAGAATATAATGCAAGACTTTGGCGTGCGGGATGCGATGGGTCAATGGTGTTGACGAACTGCTTGCTTGAGGATATTGAGATCAGCGAGAACATGTGCGATCTGTAGCTTTGGCGGTGATGGAGTTGACGAGGGATCCATTCTGACGAGACTATGAATGTGACGCTGCAGGCGTGATGGATTGTTTGTTATTATGATCAACGATTAATATCTAAGGTCATGGTGAGAAGATGTTTGCGAAAAAGGTGTAAACATGTAAGTTCACCTAGCTTATGGTGTACCTTATCGGTTATCTCGGTCACTGCCGCACATGTGCCGACAGTAGATTCAGAACGCACTCCTCGATAAGCGAGCATTAACATCACACTTTCATTCTACTCAACTGAACCACCTCTATCGTAGAGCAAGGTCGATTCCATCACATTGAAAAAGGCAGGACTTTGCTTCTAGGACTATACATACATTTTCTCAACCGACTAGTATCCTATCTTGTTTGCTTGATCGCGCGATTAAGAGTTTTGTTGCATTCGGGCCTTGAGCAATCTTCAATTCTAATTGCTATCATAGAAATGAGATGAGGTTCAAATGACGTTAGTTGTTTTCGCCAATGAACGTATAGGTCGGCTAATATCCCAGAGATGGGTGGATTGTACTAACGGATCAAGCTCTCTAACAAGTGGCAACATAAAACCGTCTCCTTCCCTTCTCCCGTGATTGGAATGTTTTGATGCGATTAGCCCTTGGATGCACAGCCCTGGCACTAAACAAACATAATTGTAGTCTACCAGACATTGACAGCCGCAACGTAGCCGCGACATCATCGCTAAGATTGAATGGTTTTGACACACGCTCCCCGGCTATCAATCCTGATTCAGACATATGATGCGCAGCCACTCCTCTTTCGGTGCACGCACTAATCCATGCAAAGCCTCTGGAGATAGAACGTATGAAGGTAATAGCTTAACGTTTGTGAGCTCCGACTTCGAATGCTGACCGGACACAGGGGGCCTGTGGCCATGGCTAGCTACTGCCATATAGCCCGGTAGGTCTTATACTGGAGATGCTATAGATTGACGGATGGCATTCTGACCACTTGGGACGACATCAATTAATGTTGATACATCTTAACATTCACATTGCCGTTGAACCACATGACTCATCAAAATACCTACCTGTTCGATAAATCATGCGTGAAAATCATCTGTTGATTGATTGACAGATAACTATTGAGTCCGCGTGAAATTTACTACAAATACAAGCAATCGAAATCTGTTTAGTTTGGAATGTTGTGGAGTAGATACAATGTCATCAAGCGTATTTGTATTATAAGGGGTTGATAGTTATAAGCAACGAGTTGGAAAAGAAATGTATATTGAACGATAACGATAAGGTCAAAGTCATCTCACCATCGTTTCTTCTTAACAGATCGGTAACTTGGAATATCATCAGCAATATTTTATCTAAATATTATAGGACAACCAATCATGTGAGAATCTTCTGAGAGAGTTAATGTTATAACGGCCTCCCCTTTCGAAGGTATTAAGTAAGCGAAACTCAGCCGATGACTAGTGGCTTTCTTAGATCAACATGGGTAGTATTCGATATCAGCATTTCCCGAAATGGTTGCGAGATTATAGCTAATGAGGAAGAAATGTGTGATGCTCATTGAAGATCCATGTATCAAAATATTCACATAGACCCCACGTCTTCCTGCCACGCACACACATGTAAATAATGCACGAAGAAGAATTTTATCATCCGCCGGCATCGCTCTGATGATGCCATGATAGTATGAACCCCTCGTTCAAACCCCTCGCTCAAAAATGCGGTAGAGGCATTTAGTAGGTTGTCTGACTAATAACCCGGGTCCATGAATTAGATGTATTAGATGAATTAGATCAATTAGATCAATTAGACGAAATAGCTCCCGTCCCCCAACCGGCACTGATTTTCTTTTGGCAAATCATGACGCCAAAGAGCCAATTGGTAAATTCGAATGTTAATTGAGTGACTAATAAATTTTGATTGGCTCAATTTCAATCTTCTTCACCCCCAATCTGGAATAAATCCAAGATATCCTTTGTTGGTTGGTTGGGATTGTCTATGCAGATCAAAAAGCGGGGCTAAGAAAATTTTGGTTCCAAGCAGCCGGTCACACAACTAAAAAAGACTCAGACTCATCAGACTCATATCCATCACATATAAGAATAAAATCTTCAACCAGAATCCAGAAAATCCTCATTGACACAAAACATCTCCAAATTCGAAAAATTAACACGATACCATTTTGATTTCCCCAACTTAATCGACAATGCTTAGAGACTTCGAACCTTCCAAACTCCAGGAATAACTTCAATCTGCTACAACAGAGGGGTTCATTATTCCTTTATTTACAAACCGACATCAAAAGCTTATCAGAAAGCTACCCTAGGTAGATTTACAACAAAAAATATCCATTATCCAAAACTCACATTCTTTTTCCCACAAAAGAGCCAAATCAATTTTGATTTAATTGGCAGGGTAAAGTGAAAACGGATCAGGTGGAAAAGTTACTTAAAAAGTTCAATTGAAACCACAATTCGATATCATGGCGCTCGCAAACCGATTCGCATATCGATCTTCGTCGCTCCTGCGTCAATGTAAAGCTCCAGCTTTGCCTGCGAGAGCATTCACTACTAGAGCTTCCATTAACGGTCTTGTACACCGTCAACCAGCTCAAGTTTGGAAAAACAGCAAATATGCTCGACTTTTTTCCAGCTCGACACTCCTTAGGGATCAGTCACAAACCGCGCCCAGCGCAGAAGCATACTTGGCCAGTGGAGTTGTCAAGGGAGCTGCCAACCCAGTGAACGTGAAGAAGGTTCTGGTCATTGGAAGTGGTGGCTTGAGTATCGGTCAAGCAGGAGAATTCGATTATTCAGGTTGGTTCCCCAGATTTTGATTTTTGGCAGAATGAGTCATTTTTGGGCGTAAAAATACTCTTCGTGTCGACTTATCTTCAGGCCATGTGTTATATCATGCTAACCATTTATTCAATCCAGGTTCTCAAGCATTGAAGGCCTTGAAAGAAGCTGG